TAATATCAGTAAAACATTATTATTATCATCATCATCATCCTGCATTACTATTTTGCCTTAGGCAGCCACCTCTTTATTTTAAGGGACCCTCCGTACCGTTAATATCACCATGTTTATTCCCATCACGCAATTACACCGGAGTCTCCCAGGACTCATCCACACAGGGGTTTTTTTTCTTGGCATGCAGCAGCTGAATAATGCAATGATCTGGGTTTTGCTGTAACCTTTCCTGTGAGGTAACAGAACAGATGGCTATCACACGTACTGAAGCAATCACACATTATCTACCGGCAATGTGAAGTCACTTCCAGTGCCATGCAATAAAAGTGGGTGTGGCTAGACACGCATACATAGGGTGGGTGGGGTGATTAATGGAGTGGGCGTGGTTATAACTTGGAGATAACTTGGCCTGAAGGCACCGCGGTCACATGTTAATGCCGGTGTTGAAGGGCCAATAAACCTAAAGACTAAAACAGACATTATTTAACCGAGCTGCCCCTGTAATGTCCCTGTCCTGTCCCTGTCTTGCCCCTGTCCTGTCCATGTCTCTGTCCTGTCCATGTCCTGTTCATGTCCCTGTCTCTGTCCATGTCTTGTCCTGTCCTTCCCCTGTCCATGTCCCTGTCCTGTCCATGTCCCTGTCCTTCCCCTGTCCATGTCCCTGTCCTTCCCCTGTCCATGTCTTGTCCCTGTCCATCCTATGTCCCTGTCTCTTTCCATGTCTTGTCTATGTCCCTGTTCCTGTCTCTTTTCATGTCTTGTCCATGTCCCTGTCCTGTCCTTCCCCTGTCCTGTCCATGTCCCTGTCCTTCCCCTGTCCATGTCTTGTCCCTGTCCATCCTATGTCCCTGTCTCTTTCCATGTCTTGTCTATGTCCCTGTTCCTGTCTCTTTTCATGTCTTGTCCATGTCCCTGTCCTGTCTTTCCCCTGTCCTGTCCTGTCCATGTCTTGTCCATGTCCCTGTCTTTCCCATGTTCCTGTCCTACCCCTGTCCCTGTCCTGTCCTTCCCATGTCCCTGTCCTGTCCTTCCCCTGTATCTGCCCATGTCTTGTCCCTGTCCCTACACAATGCCGCATACCTGGAATCCGAGATGAGCAAAATAAATTGTATCTAAAGACAGAACTTATTTGTTCAGTTTTGGATATATTGGTGAAGGGTATAGAGCCCCTGTTGGATTTTGATTGCTGTTTGTGACCCCTCTTGTGAACCCTCTCTATTTGTCCTTATGACTATTGTCACCAGGAGTGAAACTGAGGGAAAAGTCAACATTCTGAGTTGTCACCCGAACAAGAAAGGAAAGATGAACCCTGGCATAAGCAAATATCATCTAAACACAAGCCATGTGTATTCTTCCTGAATTCTTGGTGAGCTTTGTGTATTTCCTGGAGCTTGGAGCTTCCTGCAATCAAGACCGGTCCCTCCTTGTGCAGGGGGACGGGTCTTTTCTCCGCCCCCTCCTGTAGCTTTCTGCAGGCAGCCTGTAGTGGGTGGAGCTTGCTGGGTCCTTCCCACAGCACTGCTCCCTCTCCTTGTGCAGGGGGACTGGTCTTGTCTCTGCCCCCTCCTGTAGCTTTCTGCAGGCGGCCTGTAGTGGGTGGAGCTTGCTGGGTCCTTCCCACAGCACTGCTCCCTCTCCTTGTGTAGGGGGACTGGTCTTGTCTCCGCCCCCATCTGTAGTTTTTTTTGCAGCAGTCTGCAGTGGGTGGGGCCTGCAAGGTACCCTCCCACAGATTTGCTCTTTGCACAGGGTGACGTGCAGCATAGTGATAACACCTCCGCGGGCTTGTAAAGGTATTTGCTTCTTAAAAAGTGGATTTATATCCTTTGTGGCTCTTGTGGAATATATTGAAATGAAAGTTTAGGCATGTTGGGCGCTATATAGCATGCGGCGGTAATGAACAAGTTATTGCAAAGCGGAAGTGCAATATAAGAATATAAAAGAATATAAAAAATAGTGATCCATGTGCTATGGCAGCGGTGGGTAACTCCGGCCTTCCAACTGTTGTGGAACTACAAGTCCCAGGAGGCATTGCAAGATTGACAGTTACAGGCATGACTCCCAGAGACAGAGGCATGTTGGGGTTTGTAGTTAAAGCACAGCTGGAGGGCCATAGTTTTGCCCATCCCTGGTCTGTAGCATAGGTAAGAATGACATCCTAGTTGGGGTTCCATTATACCGGAATGGAAAATCAATAATCAATGGATGAAGAGCTATGGACACCAGAGCAGAGCGAACGGACCCCTTGCCGCGGTGATGTCACCGGTTTCTGGTACACGTCACGGCTGCCTTCATTGGCACTCCGGGCTAGCCTTGGAGATGGGGGATCTGCATGCCCATGTGCATTTTCCAAAAAGCTGATATTCCCGGAGTTCCCCAGAAGGCTGCTCTCCTGCCGAGTGAAAAGGACCCTCATTACAGACTCTCATTGTGACTCATCTGCCCCCTGCTGTTAGAAAACATTCTCTCCTTCACAACTTCCCACCATGCAGAGAGAAGCCGAGCAAAGACTGGAGCTCCTAACCAAACTATACACAGTGATAACGCAACGCCATACATTGTGATTTCATTTGCTGAGAACAGAACTCCATGCAGATATACACACCAGCAACGAATGCAGTTATATATTGACTAATCATCATTAAATGTACTTCTACATACAGCCAATGTAACTGAACCTGACTACCGGCCTCTTACCATCCCCCTGCACAGCAGCACTCAGAATGGGAGAGGGTGGGGCAGCACAGACAGCCAATCAGGTGTCCTGCAGTTCACATATGCTGTGAAGTGATTGGCAGGCAGGAGGAGAGGCAAGAAAGCCAAGCTGCTGAGCTTGCTGCTGCTTCTTCAGGCTTTGGGCGGAGAGCTGACCAAACTATATTGGTTAAAAGGAGAGCTATGGGGTCAGGGCTTTTCCCCATAGTTCTCCTAAGGGTCACAGGAGGACACAAGCTAGCGTCCTCCCGCCACCCAAAGCTCAGTATATCCTGAGCTACAGCTCGCGGTATACTGAGACCGGCGCAGCCGGGGTGGACCGCGACATTGCTGTCGAGATCCACCCAGCTGCGTGATTGACAGCTGGCTCTGCCTATCTAGAGGCAGAGCCAGCTGTACCCGCCCCCGTCGGTTCCGCCAGATAGCGCTAGAGGATCGGAGCGGGGAGGGGGGGAATGCCTGCAGGGAGCCGTGAGTGACAGTTTCATTCACGCAAAAAACAGTAGATCCCCCTGCACTCCTTACAGCGCTTCCGGTCCAAGTGATAATAGTGGTGCTCGCAGTGACAACCACGGATGGCGCCGTGCACAGCAGTCAATGAACAATAAAAATCACCAGCACTCTGTAAATGAAATTAGAAAAAAGTCGATTTATTTGGACTAAACTTCACACATATCGCATAATCCAACGTTTCACGACCACGCAGGGTCCCTTCATCAGGGCCGAAATGTGACAAGATTCATTCACGCGTCGGCTCAGACTATGAGGTGGAGTGATTTTCACTCACCTCATAGATCAGCAGGAGCTTACGAGAGATGCAGCTACAAAGGTGGCGGGGTAGCAGCACTGAGCACACTTTTCTGTCCCCTAACGAATGCCTTAATTGTCCCATTTATGAGCCTCTCTCAGCCAAAAACAGCTGACACCATAGAACAAAAGGCAAGTTTAATGAACTGGCAGCTCTCCCAAATGCTGGGCATTGAGCAATGCTTTGACATACGTGTATTATATGTGAATGCTGTCGGTACATTTTATGGTCTGACCTGTATTTTAGCTCTATGACCCATCCGGTTCTTTTCTCTAGGATTGTCATCTCTGGTCTCACATGAGGCCTTTACCATGCACAGTGCAGGAGCCTGTCCCAAGCCCCACGTTGTGCCCATTCTGCACTTCATTTGGGGCTGGACTTTCAGAGAAAAGTGCCCTGTGGGTTCTGGAGAGGCCTACACGGTCCTAGAAAAGCCTGGAAGATCACAGCAGATAAGCAAACAGCAAGCAGGCCTCCCCCCCTCCTTCCACTGTATTCAACCACCGGCTTAACTTCCCCCAAACGCCTTAAAACCCACAAAAGGTATTATATCTCAGAATTAATAATGCAATGCACGCAGCGGACCGGCACCGCGGCTAATTATAGCCCACGCCAACAATATAACACAAGCACTACCGAACCCCAACCGAAGCCTTCTGCTACCCCCAACACCCCTCGAAAAAATTAACACAACTTTTTATTTTTTTACAAAAATTTTCATTCTTTTTTTTTTTAGAAAAAAAAAACCCTTTTTGAAGTTACCTTGAGTTGGTAGGGCTGGATCTCGCTCAGGCTCTGGTTCCGTAACTTCTTGGTTAAAATCTTCAGCATTGTACAAAATCCCGAAGAGGAGGAGGAGGAGGAAGGGGTTAAACTCTCATTTACACACGCACTCACGCTTACACACACAGAGAAGAAGAAGGAGAAATCTGCAGGCTGCAAAAGCTCCACAGGCATTTATTATTATTTTTTTGTTTCTTTTTGGTTCTTTTTGTTGTTTTTTGTGTTTTTTTGTTTTTAGACACGTACGCTTCTTCCAATTCGAATGCAAAAAAAAAAATCCCTTTGGAGCGACGAAAAAAAAATTGAAGGAAAAAGTTGCCCCTTTTTTAAAAATGTTTTAGGTTTTCGTAGAAGGCTTGCATCCACGACCGTGCAGGATTTTACTTGGTGTTACGCTTAGGCGCTTCTCCTTCGGCATCACCCCCTCGCCACCTTTACTTTGTGCTCAGTTCTTGGCTTTAGGCTGTCCTGTGAGCGGTGTGGAAGTCTCCATAGCTTCTCACCCATGCACACTCCTATCACACACATTCACACACACTGTCCCCTCTGTCTGCAGAGCTCTGTGTAACTTGTAACAAACAGAGGCCTCGGCTCTGGCTCCCATTGGCTGGCCCGGGGAAAACTGTGTCACTTTCAGGAGGCCAGCCCTTTATTTAAAGGGAAAGTGATAGCAAGCCGGGCTAGGCGTTTTTGCAGAGAGATGAAGTTCGGTCCCTCCCCCTCTTTTCCTGTACAGCCCAGGGAAGGGAAGGGAGGGGAGGGGGGGGGAGAGCAAGCTGCACATTGTCATGGGGGAAAATTAGTAGTGTGTTCTTCGTTAGACACCCTTCAACGCTTTCTTCCTTTAGAAACCCAATCGCTGAAATATAATTGAAGCTTTGTAAAAATTGGCAAGCTTTGGAAATCTGCAGTTTTCACTTAAAGAATATCAGGTGATCCTGCTGCAAAGGGCACCTTCTGTTATGGGTGCCAACTGTCTCCCGGTTGTGCTCTCGTGTCGTGTTGTCACCTCATCACACGTACCCCTGGGAAAGCACTGGAAGTCTTTGGTTTGTATCCCAGCCAGGACATTATTTGCTTGGAGTTTGCATGTTCTCCCCGTGCTTGAGTTGGGGTACTCCATCTCCCCCACCACACACACACTCCAAAGACATGCTGGAAGGTTAATTGGCTCTTGACTAAGTCGGCCTTTTGGCTAACATCAAATGTAGTACGGGGTCCTCTTCGCTCGGTGGTTGGCTTCAAGAATGGGTCCGCCTGGTTTCAGCAAGGTGGACATGAGGGCCTTGCCCCTGCCTGGAGCCTTGTGCCCTGGTGGGTCAGGGAAGGGCCCTATCTTTTTAGGAGATGGTCAGTTTGACACTTTTTTGTGTGTGTTCACTTGCACTTTTTTTGTTCACATTGGTGTCTAGAAGGGATGCACCGATACCGATACTGGTATCGGTGCCGATACCGAGTATTTGGGCGAGTAGTCGTACTTGCCCAAATACTCCGATACCAGAACCTCCGGACAGAGGAAGATTGCCTCTAACAGGCAGTGCTGTAGGGGCACACGGAGCCGGCTTCCCGAACAATCAGGAAGCTGGGTGGCAAGTAGTGACCCTCCTCCCGTCTTCCTGATTGGCCGGGAAGCCGGCTCCATGCTGATTGGCTGGGAAGCCAGCTTCCCAGCCAATTAGCATCAAGCCGGATAATCAGGAAACCGGGAGGAGAGTCATTACCCACCACCCGGCTTCCTGATTGCCCGGGAAGCCGGCTCCATGCCAGTGGAAGCACTGGTATCGGTACCCGAAAGCAAAATATCACTACTCATACTCATACTCAATCCCGAAAACAACGGTATCGGTGCATCCCTAGTGTTTAGTTTTTGATCATGCACGGCTGGCTTCAATAAAAAAAAAATCTGCTGTCATCAGTGTTCAGGAGGGGAAATCTGCCGCTGTTTTGACCTTATGGTAAGAAAGGGTAGCTGGAGAGTACCTTGCACGAGTTGATGCGGGGTTCAAAGGTTCCTGGCTAGGGGTTAAGGAAACAGAATTCAGCGTCCACTCACGCAAGAGTGGGAGGTCAGGAATCCTTCCTTTGGTCCGGGATCTGGAGGATCCCAGTGCCTCCTGATTTGAAAGGGACTACCTGATCTGATCTGTTCATGGGCTGGGAAGGCAGGGAGCCCATCGTTTCAAATGCCCGCCAAGAGTGGTGCCCTGGGGTGCTCATGAAACATTATGGGTTTGGGACCCCAATGTGTGAAAGGCATTGAAGCCACTTGCTTTTTCTGCACATCGCCCCTTAGGCTAGGCCTTTTGGCTAAGACGAGGGCCTAGCCATAGTCCTGCAGTTTGGCACCTATTTATTGTTCTCACTTTTGTACATGCACTTCACTTTTTATATGCGTGTTTTTTTTACTCCACAGGATGGAGGATGTGGGTCTTTGGGCCTGCCCTGAATACTAGGGGAGATCGTGTGACCATTAGGTTCCTTCCTCCCCTGAACTGGGGGTGTCCTATTTGGAGGAGCCCCCAGCCTAGTTCTCAGTGGTCAGCTTTGACTGACCTGGAGAAATGGATCCGCCTGGCCAGGTGGACATGAGTGCTCTGCCCCTGTCAGGAGTCTTGTGCCCTTGGGGAATCAGGGAAAGGTCCTGTCTCTTCGGGAGATGGAACACTGAGACACACCCTAGTGCTCACATGCATTTTTTTGTTCACTGTGGTGTTTAGTTTTTGTGCACCCAAAGCAGGCTTTAAAAAAAAGTGAGATGGGACCTTAGATTGTAAGGTCCTTGAGGGCAGGGACTGATGTGAAGTGCTGTGTACATTGTCAGTGCTATGTAAATACTAATAATACATGGATCCCAACTGTCCTTTATTCAAAGGCACTGTCCTTTATTTGGAGGGACTGTCCCTCTTTTGGAGCCCAAATCTCTCTGTCCCAATTCCCTGCTGAGTTGTCCCTTGTGCCGCTTGTCCCTTAAGGTCTTTAAAAAATGTACTCCCACATTACCAGAAGTGTTAACCTTTCATTCAACCTCTAAGTCAGCGGTGGTCAACTTTTTTTGATATAGGATATAGCCCCTGACATCACCAATGGGGCAGGCACAATATTCACTGAATGTAATGAGACTCACAGCTGTGAAAGACTGCAGAATTACAACAGGAGATGGTCAGAGACTACAGACATGCTACAAGAGACAGCCAGGGACTATGGATATGCTGTAAGAGATGGACAGAGACTACAGACATGCTACAGAGGGTGCTCAGTATCCTGACATATCTTCTAATAGGTATCACAGTGGCTTAGTGGTTAGCCCTTTGGCCTTGTCAGCAGTGGTGTATTTAGGTTTTATGCTGCCCTAGGCAAGACTACACTCGGGCACCCCCAATCTAAATTCGCCTCACCCCTTCCTGTTTAAGACATTTTGTGTAACCTGTCAGTCGCTGGATACAAAGTGCGCCCTGTATCCAGCTTCTGTCAAGTTGCGTTAGTTCGTAGCGTAGCAGGGAAGCCAGGGTCTCAGGTGGGCTTTAAAGGATCTCTTGTGTGCTATGCCGGGTCTCAGCCTCAGACCCTGCAGAGCCCACCATAGATCCACATAACCCTCCTGAGATCCCACCATAGTTCCTGCAGACCCCGCACAGCCAACCACACACCCTGCATAGCCCACCACAGACCCTGCAAGCACATCACAGACCCCGCATAGCTCACCTGAGACGTTTTAGAGCCCACCACAGGCCCCGCGTAGCCCATCATAGACCCCGCATAGCCCACCTGAGACCACCACAAAACCTGCAGAGCCCACCTGGGACTCTCAGGTGGGCTGTGCAGGATCTATGGTGGGCTGTGTAGGGTCCCTTTCCCTTCACACATGTGCTGCTCCACTTACCTGAAGCCCCCCCAGCCAGCCTCCGGGTCATCCCGCCATCAGATGCTGGGGAATAGGCAACCCTGAGCCGCCCACAGCTCTTCCGGGAGCCGCATTTCACTCAGCCTCGGGCCAGTCCCACCTCCGGTACCGCCTCGACCCCTCCTCCACCCCGCATCCGGTCCCACCTCATCCTCCTGCACTTGGCAGCTTTCTCAGGCTAATTTTCCTTATTAGGCAGCCGAGGCTGCCTTATTCTGTGTGGCACGGCTCGCTGCACCGATTTGGGGGCAGTGTTTTGCCGTCCCCCTGCAAAGTGCCGCTCAAGGCAAACGCCTTGTGTGCCTTGCAGTGGATACACCCCTACTTGCCGGTCAGGACATTATGTGCATGGAGTTTGCATGTTTTCCCTGTGCTTGCGTGGGTTTCCCCTGGGTACTCCCTGTGCTTGCTTGGGTTTCCTCCGGGTTCTCCATAGATTGTTAGCCCCTTGAAGGCGGGTACTGATGTACATGTGCACTGTGTAAATTGTCAGCGCTATATAAATAAATATAGAAGAACAGGCCAAACATCGGTGTGATTATGTGCTTGTGTTTGCTACGAAGCTCATGGGGGACTATTGCAAGGAAGCTCAATTCACATGTACTGGTCCCTTAAGCGCAGGATATTAAATCCCTGATCATGTCCACGCCATATGCCGAGAAGAAGCGTCCTTACACGACCAACGCAGCAATTGGTTTTTCTATTGAACGTGAAGATTGTGGCCAAGATTCGGGGAGGGAGGTTGGCAGCTGGAGCCTTTATAGAACAACAGAAGACGTCAATACAACTTTTGTCCCAACGGCCCGGTCTCTGGGGATAGACGGCATTATAATCCTCTCCTTGGGAGTTCAGTACGTCCTGCGGTGACAATACCCGGCTTATAGAAGACCATGGCGGGTCCAAGGAGGTGGGCCGAGGCTGGTGCAGCTCGGGGCATTCTGCAGAGCGGGCAAGGAAACTAAAACTGGGAAATTGTGAATAAAGGACAACTGGAGGGGTGCAAGGTCACTCCAGGAAACAGTCCTTCAGAACTGGATGCACAGTCCTCTCACCCCACTGAAACAATACACAATATGTGTTCCATGTGGAAGGAGTCGCAGCCGGGCTGAATAATGTTCAGAACAAAGAGCTTCTTCTAAATCTTGGAAACATTTTGGCAACAAACAAAATCTATCCACAAGACAAAAGATATCGCAATGCTTTAAAGCAC